TGAAATCTGAAGTCATTTTTTCCATAATCATTAACATATGAGTGCCCAGTTTTTTCTAAACTTCTTGGTGACTCAGTCCTAACAGGATACCTTGCAGAATTGAGTAGCTTAATTTGTAACACAGACTAGAATTTTAATTGAGCTTTATTTGCATTTGTTGAAAACATGGTAATTAAATGTCTTAATTGTACAATGAGTGTGCTGCATTAAAGATAAATAAGCAGCTTCACATTATAACTTCTTTAAAAAGAGAAACTTGAGAGTATCTGTTATAGGTAATCACATGGGAAAATAGCTGATAGTTCAGTGCATAGAGTTAGTTAGAATAGGCATAAATGTTCATCAAAAATAGAAATTTCTATTTGTTTGGAAGGAGATCATATTTCTTTGTGTAGGCTCTCTGCAAAGGGAAAGGTAATAATCTGTAAAAAGCAAAATTAAAGAGAAAAATTGTAAAATTTATATACCACTTAAAATAGTAAATTATCTAAATGTAGGTTTATGGTTAGTTCTTGCACTGTAATTTTCTGTGTGAACACATAAATCAAGCCATTTGTTGCTAATATATTCTCAGTAGTTTTCTTACTTGAAAAATTATTTATATGGTTTCTTATTTTATTAATGTTGAGTTGTATCTTATTATAAAGCTAGTATTAAATGTATAGAAATAATTTTAAAACTTTAAAATAACCTGACTAGTATATCAGGGACCTTGAGTATGATTATATATATTTACATATATATATAAATTAAGCATGTGTAGCCAGTTCAAGTTTTTAAAAGAGTAATCTTATAGGGTAAAGTGAGATATTCCTATTTTTCCCTATCAAATAATTTTAGACTTTGAAACATATGTAATGCAATACTTTAAAAGAACATCTTATGTTTGTACATATGAAGCTACATATTGCTAAATACTTTTAATTAGTTAGCATCAAATGGATTAGTGAAATAAGTACACCCCCAGAAGAATTTCTGTGATAACGTATTATCAAACTTACAATGTTCAAATTAAGTATAAACAATTCTCAAATGTCCAAGTATCATCTTAAATAGTTCACTGGCTTGGGGCAGGAAACTGAGCTAGGATATTTTATTTTATCAAATGTGTTTATAAAACCCAAAGTTAATAAATGATTTAATACTAATTTTCTCTGTTTCACCCAATTTATAAAATAATTGGTATTACATACACCAGAAAATTACTGTGATTATGAAAAGAATTGGCAACAAATGTAACTTCAGTGCACAGTTAGTTGTGATGGCTCTGCCTTTATTCTATTACCAAGCCAAGAGCAGACATATGCCCCTGTACTTCTGCCAACTATCAGGCTGAGAACTAGCATTCATGAGTTATGGTGATGGCTGTTATGGAAGACAAAGTCGTTTACATTTACTGGGCGCATTTTTTTATAGTTTCAAACATTGATGAAGGTTGTGTAATCCATTAGACAATACATATAGCACTAGCAATAATATCATAAAAATATACCAGAAACTGATGAGAGCCGAAGCAAGTACAGTTGACCCTTAAACATTGTAAGTTTCAACTACCCAGGTCCACTAACACATGGGTGTTTTTCAGTAAATAAGTACAGTACTGTAAGTGTATTTTCTTAATAACATTTTCTTTTCTTTAGCTTACTTTATTGTAACACAGTATGTAATATATGCTATACAAAAGCTGTAAATTGACTGCTTATGGTATCAGTAAGGCTTCAGTCAATAGTAGTCTATTAACAGTTAAGTTTTGGGGGAGTGAAAGTTACATGTGGATTTTTGACTGTGTGGAAGTTGGTGCCTCTAAACCCCGTGTTGTTCAAGAATCAAGTGTATAATGGGCCTTCCCGGTGTTACTGTAGTTGGGGTCTGGCCAGTTTTTTCAGGCTTTATTAGAGAAGAGTGGGCATTGTTCTGAAGCGAGAGGAATGGCAATACCCAGAGACTGCATAAATGCTTGTGTGGTTGGGATAAAGTCATGAGTCAGGTACCAGTAATCTTTGATTTAAACAATCTCTTATGAGCAGTTGCTGTCTGCCTGACATTCCTCATTTTAGAAGCTTAGAGAGTGGGAGACAGACATATGTGAAGTGCAACAATAAAAGTTTGTTACAAAGAGATATGGAAGTATAGGTAAAAGGAGTTTTGCATGTTGTGAAGTTTAGAAAACCCACTACCATCCATCTGTTTAATTTAAGTATACCAACCGACCTAGGTTTGTAGCTCCCAAGAACTTTTGAGAATTGTTTTATAGTGATTTGGTCAATTATCTCAAGGTTGAGGCCACACCTATTTCGCAAAAGGTTGAGGGAGTGATTGGCAATCAGAGCATAGCCATATCAAGGGTATTGACAAGGTGCTGCAGCCCTACTAAAGCTATATTTACATTCTCCTGGGGGGCTGTCATTGAAACTGCTTCACATAATTAGCAAGCTCTTGAGCAGTGATGGCGAACCTTTTGAGCTCCGTGTGTCAGCATTTTGAAAAACTTAACTCTGGTGCCGTGTCACATATAGAAATTTTTTGATATTTGCAACCATAGTAAAACAAAGATGTATATATTTGATATTTATTTTATATATTTAAATGCCATTTAACAAAGAAAAATCAACCAAAAAAATGAGTTCGCGTGTCACCTCTGACACGCGTGTCATAGGTTCGCCATCACTGCTCTTGAGACACTAGGCCAGAATATTCTTTCCCTCCTCTATGTAGACCACAAAAAATTACAGCCTTAGCTCAGCATTTATTTGCAAGGCTATGGATTTTTACTAGCATTGGCCATCTGAAAATTGTAACTGGCTTCCTCCAATAAATCTGCACAATTTCTATTTATGCATTAGTTAAAAAAGAGTAAAAGAAACAATTTTTTTAAAAAACCTGCCATGTTCATTGGAAGAAGAGAGTGACTCACATTTAGATAACTCAGTACAGAAAAAGATCAATCTTTCTGAAGTCATTTTTACAGTTGCTAACCCATCCTAGAGCCACTGCACAATTGACCTTGCTTCTTGAGTGATTTCATCAATGTGAGCCACAAATCACAGTATTCAGTTACCATAGGATTGACAACAGGTTTCTGAAATATTTCTGACTGCTGTAATTATCTTCTAGGAAGACTGTGTAATGACTGGTTGATAGATTGCTGAAATATATGCTGAATGAAGCATGGAATCTAGCAATCACAAACAGAGTTGACTAAAAATTCATGAAGGTCTTGCTAAAGTACAACTGTACAAGGATATCATAATAGAAAGATCCCCAGGCAGGGAGTGTGCTGGACCCAGATCTTTCTGTTTCCTCAGCATTTAGAGGAAGAAGTTGGTCTAAATGACCTCCAGAGTACCGCCTGGATTTAGACTCGGTGATGTTCTTACTCTTTGGCTAGACCTAGGGTATGACCAGCTGGAATGGGAAATTGGCTCATGTTTTAACCCAGGGGTCCTCAAACCTTTTAAACAGGGGGCCAGCTCACTGTCCCTCACACCGTTGGAGGGCCGGACTATAGTTTAAAAAAAAACTATGAACAAATTCCTATGCACACTGCACATATCTTATTTTGAAGTAAAAAAACAAAACGGGAACAAATACAATATTTGTATTTGCATGTGGCCCGCGGGCCGTAGTTTGAGGACCCCTGTTTTAACCAAATATGTCAACAAAAAGAATTATTTTAGTATTATGGTAAATAGCTGGCATTAATAAAAGTATCAATTGGCTGTACTCATGTCATCATTTGATAGTCTCTTTTCAGATGCGTGAGGGTTTAGTAGCATAACACTAAGATATTGAGTTTGTTTTAATATGTCTTATTATACTCTTGTTATTGTGTATTGCTAACTTAAGTGCCCCTCACTGAATTTCACTTGAAGATACATTAACTTTATTTAGAGATCTGTTCTTTGTGAAAGATGAGGAAGAGGCCTAACTGTTCTATTTGGCTCTACATTAGAAGAAGCTTAAAAATATTGATTCATACTTTGTTTGTTGCTGGAGAAAAAAAGATGACCTCTGAATTCAAGGGGTAACACAAAGCCCCAAACCATAGGCAATTAATCTCAGAAAAGATCTAATGAGAATGGCTGAATATGTGTATCTATTGCTTCCCAACTTAAATTCTGAAAGATTTTTTTGGTAGGTGGAAACCCACTCTAAGTTACTTGTCATTCTTTCAAATGCAAACAGTTTGGGGTATTGGACCATATTCTTATGAAATGTTGGTTCAAAGGATGGAATCTTGTTATAAGTACAGCTTTTATCTACAAAGTTCAGAGGAGTATGAGGTTATTGAATCACACCTTTTCATGACTCCATCCAACTCTGTTTACTTGCCATTGTGTAGACTCACATGCAAAATTATTTAGGATTAGAAGATGTAGTACCATTTGCTTGTGATGTTGCCTTATTTAATAAAAACATAAATAAAAGCTGCAGAGGCTGTGAAGATCCAGCCTGTTTGTAGAAATGACAAATAGACATGTTTGGGAGCCTGAGGAAACAATTTCTTGTGCTACCATTGGTGTGCTAACTAGAGAGTGGTATAATCCATTAATGAGGGGCCAGAGTGGATCCACTTCATCCTTACCCAGGAGGAGTGTAAGCACTTGGGGAAGGACTGCTTATTTTCATTTTGCAAATATGTAAAAAGGACCATTACTGATCTGTGCTGAGGACCAGCCAATTCCCACAGCAATACATGTTCTGTGTCAAGTAAGATGTTACTCCAGGGAAATCAGCACCTGACTGAAAAGCAGCTTTTCTCGGTCTATTGGCACATCATTTTCCCATAGGGATACACATGTGCATAGAAGTCATCCACATCACATATTCAGTTTTAATTCCATGCAAAAGTAAACAGCACTGCAGCCCATGTTAATAGCAGGACTGTACAGTACAACATGTGGGAAAATAAAATCCTCACATATATTTTAGCTTCTTATTTTTGTTCCTTTGATTCACTGTATTCCTTATCTTTTTTTTTGTTTTTGTTTCCTTCCAAGTGGAAGAAGACACAGAAGAAAGTTCAAGATCAGGGAGAGAGTCTGTGTCCACAGCCAGTGACCAGCCTTCATATTCTCTGGAAAGACAAATGAATGGAAACCAAGAGAAAGGAGATAAGATTAATAGGAGAAAGGATAAAACTGGAAAAGAGAAGAAAAAAGATAGAGATAAGGAAAAGGATAAAATGAAAGCCAAGAAGGGAATGCTGAAAGGTCTAGGAGACATGTTCAGGTAAGTCTTTACCAACCCAAATTGGATCATTCCTCAACATATGTATGAGGTTAATAAGAAATACTAAAACACAAATTTGAAAACATTGTTTGAGGTTAACCAAAATTCTTTTCAGTCTTAGCTACTTCATTGCTATATTCTTAATGATTTCACTTTCGTTATTTTAAACCATTTTATCAACCTTAAAGATGATATCTTGCCAACTATGGAAATGACTATAGAGAGGAAGGAGGGACAAGTCTATATCTTAGCTATGCATAAGAGTAACAGCCCCATTGAGACAAAAGACTGTTAAAGTAGTGTTTGTTCTTTTGTGAGTATGAACAATGGTTCATTATTTAAATTTAACATAGAGCTCAAGTTAGAGGTAGCATTTAAACGTTCATTAATAACAAGTCTAATAAAAAATCTTACAAATAGAGCTTTAATTAAACCATGTTGATTAATTTAATTTATGTTATTTCAATAGTAAAAGTTTAATTAAATGTAGTCTCTGGCTGTTTTCTGACAGAAGTTTTTGTGTCCCTAAATTATATTATAGGATTACTTAGCATATCATGCTTTACAAATCATTGCCACACAATAAAAGTGACAAGTTTTTCTTAAGTTGCACTGCACCTCTTCCATAATTGTTCATCTAATGTGAACAATAATATTCAGGTCTTTAATGTGCAATATAAAGATTAGTTGATTGTTCCATAAATTAAACCCCTAAACATATGATGATGTTTTAAATTTGAAAACATACAGCATAATCATTCAACTCTTCAAAAAGTAGTTATCCTACATTATGAATCCCTTCCTTTTGACCTTTTTTAATTGAAAATGTGAATGAGCTTTTCTTTTCACAGAAATTTTTTATTGATGATCCTGAGGTTGCCCTCAGTAACTCAAGGAATTATAGATATGTCAAGCCTACAAAATTGAGGACTTAGGATCCTGCCTTCACAATAGATATGTTCTGTAGATGTCTGATTAAGTTAAGTGCATGAAAGAAGTAAGCTATAGATGGAGATAACACAAAACCTGATCTATTAGCCCTGTCAGTTTTAATTTAAATACAATTGGATTTCCATCTCCAGTGCCTCATAACATTGGGTTTTTCTTAGTTTTACATTAGTTTTTCTTGCTTATATACTGATCCTTCTGAATCCATTTTCAGTCAGATCATCATTTTTCATTATATTCTATGTCCAAGAACACTTGGGGTGAAGTTGCCTTAATTGCCACTTTATTTCAGTTTCTTTGTTATCCAGGGGTTTTTTCATTCCTTATATGCAAACTGACAGCTCATAAATGGTCACCTACATAACACACAGAAATAAGGTGGTTGCCTATCAATTAAAAATGGAGGATTTTATACTACTGTCTTCAAATTAGAGAATATGAAAGGGGTCCCCTGAGACTTACAGAGCCCACTTGGAGCCCAGTCACATTTCCAGGGTTTCATCCCGAAGTCTTATTGAAAGCTAATGGCTTGTTAGTTTTTATTCATCAGCTAACATTTATCTAATAGACACAGTGCTCTGTTATTCTCATGGAATAGAGAATAAGCAAACTTTTAGTTTGTTTATAAATTATTTTAATTATAAATGCTTTTTTTTTTTAACTTGTAACTCCAGAATCAGAGAGACCTTATAGTAGAGTTTTCTTTTGAGGGCCAGAGGAGTGGAGAGTGTCAGAGCCGTGGGGAAATCTATATTGTTTCAAAGGGACCCTGAAGTACAACACAGTCCAAACTTCTTTTTGCTACAAGTTCTGTGAAATACTATATGATGTTTTTTCTAGATCAAATTCTATAGCCTATACCTATAACCAGCTTTGTGATGAGGAAGTGGACCCATTTATACTCTGAAGGCCTGGGTATTCTTGAAAATCAACTTCTGTGTTTAGGTGCCAGGGCTGAGAGTTTTTTCTAAGAATTAAGTTTGTGTTCTTCCAGTATTTAAGAATGGCTGTTAAGAAAATGAGAGATGTCTGTACTTTTCTGGGTATATAACATATAAATGGTCTGCTAGAGTCAACCTACATTGGCTTGTGAAAGCCAGTTGTTCAATTTTTAGAGATTTTTGCCAACCAGTTGTTAAATACAATCATTACAAAAAATTAAATAAGTTCTATAAAATACTCAAAAACTGTCACTTCCTAATTATTTTATTACATTTTACTATAATCTCTGCTTCTGAGGTTATTTACACTGATTGTGTTGGCATGGTGCTAGTACTGTATATGGTGTGCTCTTCCCGGCTTCAGCTCTGGGACATCATGCTGCCAGCTTAAAATCAGCCATGTGGGAGGACTTACACCATGGAAGTATGCGAATTCCACAAAACTGAGCTTTTTCTCCCAGGAGAGCACCATACCACATGGGGAGGAAAAATAAATTATCTGCTACCCTTCTAAGTTCTTCCAGTTGGAGAAATGAACAAAATTAACATGAGACAGATTAATAAGAGAAAATGACCAGATTTATTACCTATACACATATGGGGTCCCTAAGAACATGGAACCTGCCTCTTTAACAGTGGGACACAGAAAGGACTGGCTAAATGGCTCTTGATAGGTTCCTGCCTGTCTATCACACTAGTTCATATTAAAATATAGTTATCTGTGATAATTGCTCCTTTAGAGCAAGTCCTCTATCTAAATTCTTTTAGACAGGAGGAAGACCAAAGGTTTTTCCTGATTCTGTCATTCCTTAAAAATAACTAGCTTAAAATAATGTCTTAAAAAGGGGCATATTTTGGGGTGGCAAACTTGGCTTCCCCTCACCATGGAGAATGTAAATATGACTTAAGCAGAGTTGTTCTATCTTGTCTACTTCTCTTGATCATGACTGTCTTCTTTCTGACTGCAAACCAGTGCTCCCTCCCTCTGGGAAATGGTTGAAGCTTACCAAACACTCTCCTTGGAAATGAGTTGAGAATAATTTTTTAAACATAAAATAAGCTTTTTGTTTTACTATTGGCTCTCAGTCATTTCTTCATACCATTATTATATCTCCATAGTATTTCAGAAGACTTTTAAAGCATTATTAGTTTTTTAAAAATATTTTTTACTGCCTTTTATACCTACTGGATCTAATTATTTGAGACTAATAGACTCTCAGATTGATTCTTTTATGTGTTTTTAATAACATAGGGAAAATAGTAAGATTTTAAAATTAGTCGCTTCCCTTCTCTTTGTTCTTTTAAATAGTATGTGATTTCCTTAGCAAGGTTGGTTTTAAATAGCTTAATAAAAATGTGTATGTGCCTATAGATTTTTTAGAACAGTTTGTAAGGAGATTCAAGTATAGCTTGCTCATAGTTGGCCTAAACTACAAAGCAGGGGTGTGTGTGTGTGTGTGTGTGTGTGTGTGTTATGATTTTGTTTCTGTGTTTTGGTTCAGATAATAGAAAAAGGTTTTTCTCTTTAGTTGCTTGAGAAAGTAATAATGTGTTTTCCTTCGAAGATAGGCTCACAGGCTCTCCTCCCCCCCTCAACCCCACCCCCCACTCTACACCTCTTGGAAAAAAACAAACAAACCACACACTCTATTCCTACCCCTATAGGGTGTATGTGTGATTTTTGGTTAAATTTGATGAGGGCCTAATAGATGGACCATATTTTTAAAATTCTACGAGAGGAAGCTGTGGAACATTGAGCAGGTATTTTAGTTCATTTGTATATACAAATAACGTTGTTTTCTGTTTCACACACTGAATGATAGTCACAAAAATGATTTAATTATTTTTGTTTTTAGTCTAAAATATTTTTTCATCTTCACCTGAGGATATGTTTTTATTGATAAGAGAGGAGACAGAGAGAAACATCAGTTGATTGCCTCCTGTACATGCCCTGACCAGGGATTGAACTGGCAACCTAGGTGCCCTGACTGGGAATCAAACCCCCAACCTTTTGGTGTACAGGGCAACATTCCAACCCATTGAGCCATATGGTCGGGGCAAAAAGGATTTAATTATTGATAACTCTGGGAAAGAATGTTGAGTCATATGAATTCTGTCTATAAATTATGGAGTATAAATAGTGCAAAGTTGCCTTAATGCAAGTTTTAAATCTATAAGGAATCAAATAACAAATATAAAGTGTGTCATGTTTGTATGAATTTCTCCTTGAATATACAACATCTTCTTTTGCATGTATGGAGCTCCTATTGCCTTAAGTAAAGAGGCTTTGTAGCTCAGAAAGCTGTGTGTACTTACTGAACAGGTAACATGATTTGTTAATGCAATCATTCAGAGTGCAAAGTACAGAGTGGGGGGACCAGCTGTACTTTTGAGTCTGTATATGTTTGATTCTCAGATGCTTGGCTATTCAAATTTAATACTCTAAAATATTTCTGAGAATTCTGCAATTTTATGAAATTGGCACCAGAGACAGGTATCTATTGTGTAATGTTTTAAATGTGTTCATTTTTAAATGAAAATAACAGCATTACTATTTTTTAAATTGATTTCAGAGAAGAAGGGAGAGGGAGAGAGAGATAGAAATATCAATGATGAGAGAAATCATTGACTGGCTGCCTCCTGGATGCCCCACACTGGGGATCAAGTCTGCAACCCGGGCATGTGCCCAGACTGGGATCAAACCTTGACCTCCAATAACAGCATTATCGACTAACATGTTTTTGCCTGTTTCCATCTCCAACTTGAATAATCAACAAGATATTAAGCATTTAAAAACACTTTTTTTCAGCCCTAGAGTAAGTGCAATTTGATATTGCTCTTCTTGAAAACTCAGAATTATTATCATTTGAATGTCCCAGAATTGCATGCACTGAAGCTTCTTAGAGCTGACCTTACTGTGCACGTATCAGGTTATTTGTGCTGTTGTCCTTTTGTGGTAGCTATAGCTATCTCAATGGAAGCTCAAGCAAAAGTAATGTTGCAATATTCACATTATTAAAATAGAATCCTCCAATTAAAATGATGACCTGAGTCCCTGCGGCATTGTTTATTCAGTTCTGTAAGAAGAAATAGGTCATTTAGTTTAAAATC